TAGTTTATGTAGTTGCATGCTAGCAGCAAAGTGTCAATTACACAGCATTCTGGATCATTAGTACCTGTATCACTTATGTTTGTTAATATACATATCTAAGGTTGATCTTATCATCAGAGCATCACACAAACAAATACGCTACCCTGATGGGGTCTCTTTTTATTTACCATGATGATCGTGCATTGCTCCAGATAATATTCCAGTCTTATCTAATGTTTTTGTTTACCATTTAATTAATGATTTTATGTGTTCATATAGACATGAAATTCTTTTTAGTTTGGGTTCATTATCCTTTTAGGCAAATTTTATTGTGTTTCTGGTAATACAGTGAAACTTAATGCGGATGTTGTGTATTCCGAAAAATTGTGTATTACAATGTAAACTTTAAATCCCTTTCAATAAAATTTAATTGATAAAAATGTTGTCTAATCCGGAATGTTGTCTAATTCAGCCAATTTCTTTGGAACCAGTGGTGTCCAGATATATAGACAAAGTTTCACTGTAATTATAAATGTTAGTTGAGTACTCTAAATCACATTTGTAATAATGCTATTTTTGCCTTATTTTCTAAAACTGTCTCAACGTGAAAAAAAAGAAAGTTCTTAATATGAATATAATTATAGTATCCTATAATGCAGAGGATACAGATCAAATTCCAGTAACACATGAAGTGCATTTGCCTTGATATGAAAAAATAAAAGACACACACTGACAGTGACACATGTAATATAAGTCCATAATAGTAGGGTTTTGAAGAATCACCCCACATCAGATATAATATGTGCAATTATTGCTTCTTGTGTATATATAGACAATTTAAAGTATTAAAATGAAAAGAGGTTCAGGTACATGGTTGTTTGAATTTTGCTTATACGGTAGGGTCAGGGTCAAAAAGAAAAGTGAAATTAACACAAAATGGTCATTATATCCTTGAAATTTTTGTTCAATTTATTTGGAATTTCATTGTAAAACTTGCTCAATTTTATCTAATTTAGGGAGGATCCATATCTGGTGTACATAAATTTTTGTATCATACAAATTCACATAGTCTGACCCTTTCAAGTGGCTTCAAAGTTTAAAATCTTCATTCATATTGAAGATGTTTGAAAAAATAATGAAGTTTACTAATGTGAATTATTCTTTGTGTGGTATTGAAAATATGTATCATTAGTTATTGTATATATTTTCAGACTTCTTTATAATGGCTGAATTAATCAATTAATTGGCATACTTGTAAATGTGATTTCAGTAACTGGTCCTGTGGCTGAAATTTTACTTATTTATAGAGAGTAAACTCCAGCAATTGACATCTATAGCATGACTGCCAAAAACAGTTTACAATTTTCTAATTTGTTATTAAGACTTTTGATGGTATTCAATTTGAATTGAAACAGATCGTGCTTAACTGTCTGACCTCAAGTTTTGTTTACAAACAAGGACAGTAGACTAATTCTGTTTTATTTCAGATAGTGTATTCTGACTTCTATATTCTTTAGCTGTACTGGGTTTTACACCATGAGTAGGTTTCTCCAACATCTCTATTAGAACAGACCATCTTAAGAGACTTTATCCTATATTTTAAGTGCCCTCTTCCCTTTTAAGCAATGTCTTCATTGTATTCAATTGCCATGCATGTTAATGTACTTGTGTATCTTACTATAAAGTGTTTCGTTCTTTGTAGGACGTGTCTACACACAATAAGTTTAAGAAATTTTATCTTATTCCTGTGTTTATGTGTCACTTCTAAAAGTTTCTCCTACTGTTGTTTTTAATTTAGGTTTTACGTACAGTATGAAACATTTAAAACAATAAGTACAATGTAATACTGTTTAATTTGGTACCGTCATTACTCAAAATCGTTAAGAACTTCAATGCCAATGAAAAGTTCAATGGTAGAGAAAGCATATGTTCCCAAAATCAAGATTTAGAAATGAGAAGATCGATACTTTCTTTGGATTTGAATGCATCTAATCATTAGCTTATAACTACAGTCAAACCCCATTTTCTCAAACTTGATTGGACTAAGAAAAAAATTCAAGATATCTGAGGGTTTGAGAAGAGAGTAAAATACATATAAGAAACAAATAGAGAAGTTATCAGTGAATTGTTTTTATTTCTTTGTGAAATGAGTAAAATATGTTAGATGTGATATTTACTGTCAGGGATCAAACTCTACTTATTTTTAGCTCACCTGAGCTGAATACTCAAGTGAGCTTTTCTGATCAAAGAGTGTCCAGCATCTGTCTGTTGTGTGTTGTACATGTATGTTGTCTGCAAACTTTTCACATTTTCGACATCCTTAGGAATATATGGGGAAAAAATCTTTCAAATCTCCTCAAGAACCTAATTGGGCCAGAAGAGTTGAAACATATGTGAAATCTTCATTACATAGTGTATATTCAAGTTTGTTCAAATCATGACCAAATTTACATAATGGGCGATAATGGACAATCAGAGTTTTACATAGGCGGGTATATAAAAGAAACAATCTGAGAAATCTTCTTCTCAAAAACAACAAAGGCATGATTATTCAAACTGATATGGAAGCATCCTCAAGTAGTGTACATACATGCAAGTTTGTACAAATGATGAACCCCAGGGGTAGGATAGGGCCACAATTGATGAAGTTTTACATAGGAATATATAGGGAAAAAATGAGCTGATGAAGATATGATTCAGGTGAGCATTGTGGCCCATAGGTCTCTCTCTCTTTTTTTTTTTTTACCTTACTCTTCATTTGCTTCATTTTTTTCCTGACAGGGAATCTATGTGCCATTCTTGATTTAATTAACCATTACTGTAGTTCCTTGTTTCTTTTCCTTTAATGATGTAGTTTTTTGTTAACTTTGCATGGACTGTATTTTAAGGATTGAACTGAATATTGTAAAGAATGTATTTTCCTTAATGATGCAGATTTTTTGTCAACTTTGCATGGATTGTATTTATTAAATTGAACTTACTGTAAGGAATGTAAGCTTTTTCGGAGAATACCCTGGTACTTATGAGCCATCTCAACATTGCCCAACATCATTTTGAAGAAAATATCTACTGTGGAATCATCATTTTTCGTCGGGGACCAATGTTCGTGGATTTCGTGGGTTACCCTTACCCACGAATTTACATCCCCACGAACGTTTATTTTGTAAACATATTGATTAATTGAATCTACCGTATAAACGAGTAACCCACGAAATTACGTCCCCTTGAACAAGTAAAATTTTGCTTGTCCACGAACACTGACCCCCATGAATTAAAATGATTCCACAGTATTCCTTGTCATGGTACATGCTGCAAAAGTAGAAAGCTCAAAATGTGTTTTGATAACAAGATAATATTAAAGGTCTGCATACAAGATATTGCTTAATAGTTTTTGGGAAGTTCTATATGGCAAATTCAAAATTCAAAGCCATATTTTTATTTATTTGTTGCCAAATGATAATCACTCCCTCTCTTAGTCTCTTTCCGAGACTTAAAATTGCTGTTGTTGGTAGAATCTGTACATACATTGTACATGTATGTCTTTATATGATCTCCATAGTCATTTTGATTAATGATGATCAATATCTTTCAAATTGGTGCATAAGAGTTCAGCTCTATCAGTGCATGGTATCAAATTATTTACATATGATATATGAAATATTTATCTTTTTGGCATGGTTTGAATATTGGGCATTTATCGTTGTAAATAGGATTGTACTTATTGTACTTGTTTGCTTTATATAATAGCCCTGCTCACCCTGTGCCCCTGTTTTACATAGTAAACACAAGTAACATGTATAGTCTGGTGCCCAATCCAGCTCAGTATATTTCATATATATCTTGGTCTCTTTTGGTTTCCCCTTTTAGCACAAAATTTTCAAAAACCTCCTCATGACCCCAGAAGTCCTCCCCCCCTTAATTTCCACTCTTTTCAGATTGAATGTCTTGTGCACTTGTGATGAGTGAATTAAATGATGGGTTATATGATTTAGATTAACTGACTAAATGACTTTTTTATGTAGAGATGTTTTCAGTAACTAAAAAATCATGTTTTATGTACAGGCTTGTATTATCTGACTATCTCAGATTACAGTTTAAGACTGTGTTCTTGTCAGTGGTACTTCGTTAGAACTAATGTGGTTGGTGTATTGTGCATCCTCTATATAGGTGATGCACATACCTGACATTATCTCTGAGACTCTCTGTTAGTGCCATCATAATGGCAATTAAAAAAAAAGTTAATTCTACACACATTCAGGTATTCTGACCTCAATACGTGTCAAACACAACAATGCTGAATCATGTTTTGTACAAAGCATGCCAAGACCTAAGTAGCACATGCATTAATTAAAAAAAAGAATATTTTTATATAATGTATACATATATTCTTTGTACTTACATTGATTTTATTAAGTACATACACTGATGTATAACAATTAAATCATTGTATTCTTTCCCATCATGTCATTTGAATATATGCATGAAAGTTTTCATTTCGTTTTTCGACTTTCATTTTGGTTTTAATGAGTTCATCGTGTAAAAAAGCCATCTAATTTGAAGAAAACTGCATGTTAATTCCTTGTAGGCTTAATATAATATCTTTTAGTAAGAAATTAATATATACAGGTGACAATTACGGTGATGTTATGAGCCTCATTATTATAATATCTCCAGTGTACATCACTTATTGATGTCATACTATTTACATATCTGTTTTGGAAATGAATTACATGGAATCTTAGAGCTGGCTTTGTGTTGTTCTGGTTGGACCGAACCACAGAAGAAGATTTCTTACAATTGACCTTGACCTCATAATGATTGTAACAATTTAAATGAACTGCATAATTATCAGACAGTTTTGATTATATTTGGATTTCAAAAATGGTTGTCAATTTTCCATCTGGACCATTAAGTGATTATTGTGGTAAATTTCATAACTTTGATATTTGGATTGAGGATTTAATTTTGAAGATGGAATTAAATGTTGTGGAATGAATGAATTTCTTTTTTTGTTTTTGTAGTCCAGGACTTTGTGATAGATGAAGCCTTGGACATGGACCTGGAACGCTACCTCGGGAATGGTAAAATGTGAGTACTGAGTACAATTCACGTGACAGATAGGTCAATAAAACATTACAAGGTGACATTAGTATATGTATTATGAATTGTTCTCTTCATTGTAATTTGTAAATGATTCCTTCGTAAATTAACAATTTCGCATAGTAATTAATGCAAAATTGTTAACTTACAAAGTAATCATTTTTTTGGCCAAAATTTGTCGTATTCATCATCAGTGTGACTTTATCAAGAAATGTGGTACTCATGATGTTGCGCCATTCGGCCGTTTGGCCACAAAATGTAAGTAAAGCAAAAAGTAGGTAAAAATAGCTACTTTGGGTAGCTTTAAATACCTAGGTAGCTATTAATAGCTACATAGGTAGAAATAGTCTATGGACTGGACCTGTTTGAAGCCAAAATTTTGGAAATGTGACATTACCAATCTTAGCAGATTATAAATTCTTTAATCATCCATATTAAACAGAAAATATCAGTATAGCAAGCAGAGAAAAGTGTCAGCTAGTCAGTCACTTGAACTGAGGACCTCCCATTAACCGTGCACTGCTGACTTGTACCCATGCAGTTGCCGTTACATACTCATCCCCCCTTTTCTCAAGGTTTTCCACCAAAAAAGAAAAAAAATCACTGATACTCTTTCAAAAGTACCCAATGGTTTTGTTCTTAGGCAACAAATAAAAAAGAGACAAGGAAAAGTTTTGGCCAAACAGGGCTCTGAACCTGTGCGGGGTCCTCTACCACTAAGCTACCAGGCCAATGTACCAATCCCCATTACTATTGGCATGACTCAGTCATTTGATTCATTCAAATTTTGTAAGCTAGACAATTATTTTGGTTGAGGGAAGTCTATCTCATAATATTTAAACATATTTTTCTATTGACTCCAGTGTTCAAAAGCTGGACAGATTCCAGTGTTTTCAGATTTCAAGGGTATGCTCAGAGCAACCATCACAGAATAGATTTTCCGTGGGCTACCAAAAAATTAAAAAGGAAAAATATATATGTACATATACTGTCAAAGGTTCAGTAAATAAATTCCAGCTAAAGATTTTAATTGAAGAGACTTGAAGGAACACAATTGTAGTAAATATAGAGAAATTTAAACTTTTCTCTGATATTATTTTGTGTCCCACCTAAGCAGAATTATTTTTTAATGGCTGTTTACTACTTTTCATTTTTCAAAGAGAAAATATTTGTAAGAATTTGTTATAACCTATCCATGCATGTGTCAGTTTACAAAGTAAGACACCATCTTAATATCTTAACATGTAGTTGTAAGACGTCTTGTCTACCTTAAGTGAAGGTTTTCAAGTGTATATATATTGTAAAACGGTAAGGTGATGTAGCCCTAGGGCCAAGCTGGAGATTAAAATGCTTCAGTCCAGACGTGGCTTTACAGAATGTCTCCATTGCAGACCTGCATAAAATGTTCTTAAACCTCTAACCAGCTTACCAAATGTTTAAAAGGCAGCTAATCAGAAAACATAACAAAGGTTTCACTGTAGAAGTAGTGACAATTACATAAACCCAAACACCAAAAGCACACAACTGGGTCCTCCGCACTGAAAAGAAAATTTGTTTAATGGATTTCATGTTCTGCAATTGTCAACACAAGTTTGTTTGACTTTTGAAATCAGGTTATAAAGAATTAAGTACTTCAAAAAACCAGACAATATTGATTGACTAACAGAGCCTTAAGTTCCTTTTAATGCTCAATTATATCAACATTGAAGAGAACTGTAATGCATTCTGTGATTAAAAACGAGGGGGAAAAAAATCTTGACCCGCAATCTCAAGCCTACATACAAAAAAAAGTTCGAACAAGAGCCAGCTTTCCTTTTCATAAAATATATTTTATGACACACGCACACTTTTAAAATGCTTGAGAAAATGATGTATTGTACAACGTACTGTATCACAAAAATCAGTGTGGGTCAAGGGTGTAGCTCTTACTGAAAATTGCCTTTTTAATACATATTTTGATATCTATCAAATTTTCTGTTGAATTCGAATTACATACTTAAACTAATTGAAATTTCATAATGTGTTTGATAGAAAAAAAAATTGAAAAGGAAAGAAAATAATTCCTTGTAAGTGTGTTATGTATGTGTGATGTGCCAGCGGAAGGAAGTGAAAATCTACGCAGAGAAAAAAAATAATATAAGTATGTCATTAATTACTTAGCTTACGTGGTGGATCACAAGGAGTGTCTCAACAAAACAGAGGGAGATGGAGAGTTTTACTTATTTTCCTCTATTTAGCTCACCTTGACAGAATCATGATGAGCTTATGCTACTGTAGATCATGAAATTTTCAAAAACACCTTATTTTCGTGAGAAAGTTATTTGCGAGACAAAATTTTCATGAATTTTGGTTACTACTTTACATAACACTATATGTGACAATAAAATTTTTGCAAGCAAATTACATGAAAATAAAGTTCTCATGTTAAAAAGTGATTTAAAGTAGGGTTGCCACAGTTACCCGAAATAACCAAAAACTGTGGTCCAAGTTGTTCAGTTCGGTTTTGGTTCCATTTTCAGGCACAGATCCAGGAATTGAAGGGGGGGAGGGGCGCAAAAAGTAGGCAGGGGGTCTGGCAGCTGCCTTGAGGCCCCCCATTGGGTCCAGGGCAAAGCCCCGGAAGCTCCTGGATTCTAGAGATTTTGTAGGGTTAAAATGAAGTCTACCGAGTAGACATTTTTACATTTTCTCAAGAAACTATGATTTACACTAACTTTGACAATTTTAGGGGGGGGGGGGGGTGTCAGGTTGCTGATTTTTCCAGATTTCTTTGGGTATGGTTTATGTATTAGAAACTGTTTTTTACAAAAAATGGCATTGAAATCAAAAGAATGATGAGGTGAACAGTGATAATAGACATCACAACTGAAATCAGCTTTATTCCATGGCAAAAAACACTTGTCACGAAAGGATTAAATAATTATCAAAACAAGCAAGAATGGTCAGGTTGTAGCTATAATAGTCAACCTAGCAGTCCTAAACACTGATGTCAAGACATTAACATGGTTAAGACTTGTTTTCAAGGTGAATTTAACTTAACAAATAAAAAATTTTCAAGTTAAATTCTTTGAAATTTGGGTTGAAATAGATAAAAATTTTCAAGTTAAATTCTTTGAAATTTGGGTTGAAATAGATGTTAACCAAACTGAAAAACCCTACCAGAACCAAACTAGCTTGGATGAATTATCTTGGGATGAGCACTACTAGACTTGCTATGGATGCTGGAGCTGACCTACATTTTCCAGATGAGTGACCAGGTTAAAGTTTTATGAGTAGGTCCCTCCCAAGTAATGATTAGCCCTTTCTGAACCAACTTTGCATGGATGATATACATGTATCTAGGGATACACTCTACCATACTAGCTTCGGATCCTGGATCTGACCTACATTTTTTTGGAGTAGCTGTGTAACTATATGGCTTGTTATGTCTAAAACTTGCAGGAATGATGCAAAGTTCTAGGGATGGACACTTCTAGACTTGTTTCAGATGCTGGATCTGACCTACATTTTCTGGATGAGCAAACTTAAAAATTTTTGAGTAGGTTCATTACCAAGTAATTTTAGGTCCAAATTAAATCAGACTCATTATTAATCAAGATATTGATAACAGGATGCATACTAGCTAGAATTAAAAAAATTGCATGAGATTTGCCTTCCTTTCTAGATAACATTTGTGGAGGTGGGCTTCGTAATCTTTGTTTTATTTATATATGTACTTCAAAGCCTTTTTATTTCAGTGGAATTCATATTTTGACTGTTTTTGCCTAGCTGAAATACAATCTTTCATAACAATTTACATACTCTTTGCACTTGTGCTAAATATGCATGACCACCTTCAGTCATTAAGGTTCCTTGACCCTCTGTTAAGAGAGATAACTCTTCCTGGGATAAATGACTATTATTTCTTATAAAAAAAAATTCAAGTTAAAAAATCAATTTCTTTCAAATTAGATTTGTTTTGGGAGATCAATAGCATTAAAGAAAGATTTTATATGAGTGAATAGAGGACAGAAGCTAAAATTGAGAGTGAATCCATACATTTGCTTACGTAAAATAAAACACAGTTATAGCAAATTGCCAGGGATGAACAATTTTGATTTGTTTTGTAAGTTTATTAGGGCTGAAACGATTCACCGAAATATCGATATTGTTCAATATTTCTGCTCGGTTCAATGTTCGATTCACTCTCGAGATTTTTCGGTCAGTACGTTTTTTTTATAATCGGGTTTGGTTGCTCCTTGAAATACATCAGGTTCAACCTCATTTTGATAGTTTGACACACATAAGGAAGAAAATTGCGACAGAGAAAGTTTCAGAGCAGGTTGCCACTGCTAGTATTGACACAAACAAAGCGCTCTTTTAATTTACAGAAGCACAAGTAGTGCTCTTTATTGTATCACCACCTTTACTTGCCTTTTGAAATCTGAATACATGTTTTCTTTAACCTTATGATTTGTTTCTTTTTTTAAAATGTATCGTATTGAAAAAATTAAATTGAGACACAAGTATCGCGATATGTACCGTACCGTGGAGGGGGCATATCGTTTCAGCCCTAAAGTTTATAATAATATAATTAAAATCACTTCACCGTGTAAGTGTGAATTCATTAATGTTCTCTGTAACTGTGTTTTACTCTATTGGTTTCAATATGCTAAAGTTTGGGTTAATTAGAACAAATATTCAAAAAAAAAAAAAGAAAAAAAAAGACAAAGAAGATTGAACCTTTAACCTACTGTGGGTTAAGAATATATCAAATTACATAAGTGACAAATGTAATGCCGCAGTTATTTTCCTCTGTCTTTTTTAAAGGTTTGTATATAACAGAACAACATCCGTTCTCATTTGATATAATGAGATATTAATCTATATAAATTCTATTAAATGTTCCCATCTGCAAATTTTAACAACTGTAATATCTGAAGTGTGAATATTTAATTATATTTTCCTTGGATTGTGCCATACAGTGTGTTGATTAACAGGACTTTTTA